AAGTCCTTGACTTTGCTACCAAGCAGTTCGAGCATCTCGAAGCAGTCCTGCTATTAGGCTCGTCTCAAAGCCATAATGAACATTGTAACAGGTTTGGTCATGAAACGGCACAAAGGGTGTCAAACGCGAGTGCTGTTGACTGAGCATCATGGCTGTAAAGCTAGCAGAAGTCGCACAGAGGAAATGTTTCACTTTAAAGTCATACATTTCAATACAGTATTTTAGGTTTACATTCTCAGATCTTACTACAGTACTGATAACTCTTGAACGTATTGAGGTTTTTTTCCCCACTGCAAACGCCAGAAAATATAAGGGAGGGCAGGGCAGGAAATGACTGACAAATCAGAGGAAATATGACACAATTTAGCATATGCAGCAATTCTATTTTGAAGTACAAAATAATGCGCAATTCCAGTCGGCGGTGTTGCATTGTGAGAAATGTTGGTGTGGTGTTGTAGGATGGATGGCTTTGGAGTTTGTTTTTATGCTTATATGTCATAAGTAAACTTTTAGTTTTTCCCAAAATTCTGTTGACCTGTGTAATGTGTTATCTTTATCTGCTCCTTGATTTTACTACACTGGTGATAGCTGTATTTATATTTATACATTTTTGGAGTGCGGCGCTGTAATAAGTATACAGTAAATGATGTATTTACATGTATGCAAGCACACTTTAAAATACATTGTATTGAAAATTCATTTTGGAGTGATTTTGATATCAAAGTGATTAAACTTTGTTATTTTGTTGCAATTTTGCATGTAACATTATTTCTGAGAACATTTATGCATACAGTACAATTGAGTTAGCCATGGTACTTCTTACCCCAGATGAGTAAGCTATCATTTCGCAAATATTCCTTCTAGATAAACAACCATATGTTATAACATCTGCCTATAATATCTTGTTACAGCCAGATGACCTTGCCGATAACATCTGGCAGTTAACCTGCATTGATTTATGCAAGCCTGATTATTGATTAGACGCTCAAAACTGGTCCAGTTTGTTTTGAATCAATGTTGCTGAAATTATGCACTCCCAGAAGGCCATGGAGCGGATGGTTGTGTAAAAAATATTTGATATGCGATATGGAACTGAACTTCTTTCGCACCATACGTAGCCAACCGTGATAATCGGAGGTGACGTATTGTCTGCTTTTTCTATTTTTGTTACTTAGTCTCCAATGAAGCGAAATATTATTTTGTTATGTATAGTATCACCCAAATATAAGGATCATGCCTATAATATTTGGCAGTTAATATATTTTCCCCATATATACGAGAGCAAGGTTGTAAAGGAATTGTGTTAATGAATAAATCGTGCTTAAAACCTTTCAAGATTTCGCTTTAAAGCTTTCGTGACTGCAGGGATTCATCTTCTTGGTTCTTTCGGTAAAGTCACGTAGAAGGGAAATAATAAAGTAATAAAAATACATTGTATTTTATTAGGTTTTATTTTTATTATTTTATTATTTCCCTTCTACGTGACTTTACCGAAAGAACCAAGAAGACCTTTCAATATGTTTTTGCATAACCACGTTACTTTTATTTTCCTGTTGCATCCAATAAGAAAAACAATTAAGGGGGGGAAGATTAAGGTTAGATCAGGGGTCGGCAACTAAAATAAGAGCCATTTTTTTCGAATTCTGTAAAAAGAAAGCAGTCCATAAATACGTGTTGCCGACCTCTGGGTTAGATCGTGTAAAGCCCCCCCCCCCCCCCCCCCCAAAGGTCTGCATAGCGAACCAGTATCCAATTAGTTGGATCTCCAAAATTGGGGAAAGATCTTCCTTGGAACTGACAGTTTATACGGTGTGAATAACCAAAGCCGTCGCCCAGAGCTTCCTGGATGCCTAAGCACGAGTGCTGTGGGGGCCGACGTCCGCCCCACCGCCCTCGTTGGGCAGGTGGAGCGCAACGTTTTCCCCCTTCACTCCTTCCTCCACCACGCCGTTCGACCCCTCTCGCCGGGTCCCTGCCGATCGGGTGATCGGCCCCCCTGCACCAGCGCCCTCTCTGAGGGACATAGCCAAGTGGCTGGCTCACCACTGCCCGGGGGTTCTCACACGCCCACGTACACCACTAATATCAAGGCGGCTGGCTGCATGCACACGCGCGCCCTGCAGGCGCTCGTTTTACACAAAGGGCTGTATGAATATGCACGCGCACCTCCGGGTGACTAAGCCCTAATCTGCTCGCACACAAAGGCTAGCGCTAAACAAAAAGGACCAGCGGCGGTATGAATATGCGCGCACCTCTCGCTTTTAATGCTATTGTCGCTGTGTATACGCGGCACACTGCAGGCACTCGTTTTTCACACACACACGCGTGTAAACAGGCGCAAGCGTCGGCGGCCGTGTATATTTCAATACACGCGTGCCTCACACGCTCAAATTACCAGCACCGCGCCGAGGTTCCACCCACACACACAAGTCACACTACACCGATCCTCTGAACTAAAATGTATTACCGGCGCAAATACTTCGCGCGAAGAGCTTAGCTTAACTCTGCCTACGAACCCAGTCGCTCGAATGTCCTACCACGTACATCGAAGCTGGACTCACGGCATCCCACGGACGCTGAGAGAGTCGTCGGGAGAAGGACGAGAGAAGACTTAACCTATCACTATCTCGCAGCAGCACTCGCTGGCATCACACGGATGCTGTGAGCGGCTCGAAGAGGCAGGATGGCAGGGAGAGGGTCTTGACGGCCCGGAGGTTTAAGACAAGAGACCGAACGTTCCCGGGGCTCCCACCTTTATTCTCTTAACTTCAAAGGCCCATGGGGATGTCGCGCTGCGCAGACAATCATGCGCCTAGCAAACTGATGTCCCGCCCTTACCTGGAGCATTATTTTACGTTACGCCTAGACCCTTTGTGTATGCGCCCACCATCCCCCTTCCGGATTCAGCCAGTTTGGTCGGTGTTGCCGTTCCGCCGAATACACCTCCGCGGAGGGGTCCAGGGTTTTCCCTCCCCCTCCCCGTCTGCGCCACCCGCATACTATTTCCCCCCTGGCCCCTCCCCCCCCCCCGTGCTGTGAGCGTTCTCATTGCGGTGAGCCCGGTGAGTTTCTGTGTGCCCATACAATTTTAAGCCAATTTAGGGACACCGCAATGTAACCTGTCCTGAGGGTCGGCCAATCTCCTGGCACCGGGAAACCGTGGGACTCTCCGTCTAGGGGCCCTTCAGATTAAAACCCGATGTGCCAGGCAACCCCCCGTCAGGACACTACGTGGGTTTGCTGCGTGCGGTTGTGTGTTTAGTGCGGGGTCCGGGAGGGGATCACAGCGTTTGCGGAGTTGCTCCGCGGTCGTGGCACCAAAGTGCCACATGGGCCCCCCTTTGTTCGTTAGCACCAATAAAATCCTGGATTTAAAATATAGGATTCAGTCACCCACGATTAGACCGGATTCTCAAGTCTAGAGGTTTTGGATGGGGGCCTGAGTACATAAACATCCTATCAGACAGTGATTTGCGTATGCACCGAAGATGCGTGGTGCAAAATGCGAAGTTCCTCGGCGCATGGCATCCGTTCCGCAAACATGGACGGCGCGTCAGTGGTTGCTATGGATTACATCATCACTCCCACTCCACCAGCCAATCGGCTGCAACGGGGACTTCGGTGCCTAATTTGATGAACGCTACTGCAGCAGCAGCTCATCGGTTTCTTACAGAGAAGAGCAAACCTCGCGTCTGATGAGGTGGATACCCTCGTTTATTACGTGGGTGTACAAAGTCGATTTGTTAAAACTTCGTTTGGCAAAAAATGTCCTGCGTTGCTGCTCCACGTTTCTGGAATACATTTGGCGTTCATCTAAAACTTGGTTCCTACCCTTCACTCCCCCTCTTAATGTTCATATTTGACAAAAATACAATGCTTGCTTGCAACCTGCACCTACCTTTTTATGGCGCCTCTTGTTGACACACGTTCATGTTTGTTTTAGATTCGCGAGTTTCATTCACGACCGTTACGTACTTCGTTAGTTGCGCAATAATCCTTTCGGACCCCTGCACTTGTTCTCTGCAATATTGTTGTTGTTTTTGTCTTGATTTATTGTTGTTGCTGCTGCTGTGTTCACGCACCACGGATCTCCCTTGTAAAATAGCCGGACAACTGGCTAAACGGGATTTATTCTCGTGAAACAAACCCAACACCCTACACGAGGGGTGGGGAACGTCCGGCCCGCGGGCCGTATAATACCCGCAAAATAATTTGGTGTGGCCCTGCCAAGGCAACCGCAGGCGGGACTCGAAATTCAATAAATCTAGGAGCAAACCTGGAAAAGTAGTTGCGAGTTGCAACATTCATCAATACCAGATAACATCACACGCCTCGCCAAAGAGAAGCAGTTCCAGCCATCACATAAGGGGCGAGTTAATTAAATGTTTGACCAAATATGACGGGCTAATTTTTCAGTTGATAATTTTGTATGGCCCGTGAATGATGTTATAAATATACAAATGATCCCTTGGCAGAAAAAATGTTCCCCAACCCCTGCCCTACACGATCTTCCAATTTCGAACCTGAACTATGACAATTGGTTTTTTACCCTTTTATCTGGCAACAAAACTGACACCTTTTTGCGAGGAGTCATGTTTGCATAGACCACAATACCTGCAGTCATAATGCAAACAAAAAACATAACTCTGATAATGTATGCACTGTCCTTGAGGTTGATTGGTCCACACCCGAGACAGCTTTCCTTAGAGCCTAGTCTCACATGGTGTTGGACCAGATGACGCCAAAAGACTCCTCGTAAAAAAGGTGTCAATTTCGTTGCCAGATAAAAGGGTAAAAAAAAATTATCATTTTTTTCCACTCGCAAACGAGGTTCCAATGGTGCTGAACTATGACGTCAATCGCGTCGCACCGACACGCGGACGTCACTACGCCGGTAGTGATGTCATTACGTCGGCTGTAAAGCGCCCGCACACGGAAGTGACGTCAACGCGTTACGCGGTGACGCCATCGCGCTCGCTGGTTCATCCGTCGGGGACACGAGGGGAAGTCCAGGCGAGAAGGGGCCCCGCGCGGAGTTGCCTCACGGGGGGTGGGGGGGTGTGGACAGGAGACCCGGGGAGACCCACGGGAACCCAGCGGGCCGTGTAGACGCCCAGGGGGGTCGAGCCGGTGTCGCGTTCTGCCCGCGTTGGGGGTGAGTAGCGCGTCGCGGGGCGCATGCCCTGGGCTTGAGGGAGGCCGAGGCCTCTATCCTGATTGTCGGCCGCGGCCGCCGTCGACCCGGCCTCCACTCTCGCCCCCCCCCCGCCCCGTGTCAACGCGGCGAGGCTCATTCCCAGTATCGCGTGGTAACATCGGGGAGTGGCTGGCTGGGGTCATCGGAGTGGGGGGGGGGATGATTTATTCTCGGTGTGAATGTGTCACGGTCGTGAGTGTAATTCTCCGTCCCCGTGAGAGTCGAGGGAGTTTCACCGAGTGTCTTGAGTTTAGTTCGGACATTGCTCCCTTCGTGTCGAGCCTCGATCGGTTTCAAGTAGGACACTTTATACCCTCCCATGGTAAAATAAGTGAGATTTTCACTTCGGTTCCCACGTAAATGCAGTGTGTAATAAGGAAATTGTTGACCGAGGTGCGTTGTGCAAGTGGCTTTTAGGACAAAGGGCGATTGCCCTTCAGTTGTATCTTATTTGAACACGCTTGGGAGTGGTTTATGGAACCGGCGACATGTTCGGTATGTTGCACTAAAAGTTGAGATTACGTTACAGTTCCATAAGGCACCTCAGGATAATAAATATTGCCTTTGTCATTTAAAGTCGTGTAAGTGAAGCGTTACACACTTGATGTTATTGTGAGAAGTGAAACGTTACATATTTGAAGTTATTCTTTGGGTTTTTCGTTAAAGTCACGTATTATCTACGTGGCTTTACCGAAAGACCCAAAGAATATGAATTGCTGCAGTCACGAAAGCTTTAAGTCAAGATGTATACTTGATGATGTTTCATTCAACTGACCGGTGTAGGCTAGACTCCTTATCTCAGCCCGATTTCCTGGCTCACAACCTGCCCTCACTTTATAAACAACAAAATCATGAAATATAAACAACACATTTAAGATAAACTTATATAGGTGGAAGTGGAAGGGATTTTGAATTGCATATGCTACGGGTGTATGTCGTAAGAACGTCAGCACGACACGTCATATAAATGTAACTTCACGAACTTGTTCATCAACTATTAATATATGTTCACAGCTGATGTATTATCTGGGGCTGATGTCTAGATGTGTAACTGACTTGCTAGATATTATAGTAAATTATGCAAATTAATTGCTTATTGTGCGGTGAGCAAATACAGTTAACTCTCTAGTTAAAATCGGCAAATGTTCTAAAAGTATTCGTTTGCTTTATACGTTTAATACGTCGGCCCATTATGCAAGTGTAAACATTGTACATTACTGAAGATTGATATTGAATACGTTTTCTTTAGGCAATGGGATCCTTAAATCCCGAAGCGGCAGCCTTCAATCCATCACATCCAACGCAATGGGGTATCCAGTACTCTGACAGCAGCAGAGCATGCCCCCCTCCTGCAGGAGCTCAGAAAAATTCCGACACAGCTCGTCACAACAAATCTCGCACGTTTGATGGAGATTTGGACAACGCAAGAGTTGCTGAAAAGCACATTGGGAGTCAAATCAATAGTGCATCTGGTCATGTGGATCAACCTTTGCCAAGTGACAACGACGCTGATGTCAGACCCCACTTTGATGGTCCACGACGGCCCTTTCCTAGGCGAGAGCTGTACAGGGGCCGCACACAAGATTCCTATTCTAGAGGAGGCCACGCTGCCGATGGGTTTCCCAGAAGGGAGGCAAACCGTGATACAGACACCTTCGTTCAACAAGAAAGTAAAAGCAGTTTGAACCCCACAGAAAATAAACAGGGTGCTCAAAATGCTCGCAGGAATAGAAAGCAATATGGTGATCCTTTGTCCGATGGGGGAAAAGCCCGTGGAAATTATGAAGTTGGTGGCATTACGGGCAGAACACAACACCAAAGTTTAAATTATAATTCTGGCCAAACGGCAGTAGTCGGTGCACAGAGCAGCACAGACCACAAGGGGGAAGTTGCAGGTGAAAGCTACAGTCGGGGTGCCTCATGTGAGAAGGCTGCAGGAGATACTGGTACAGGAAGTGGAACAAGGCCAAAATATCATGATAAGTATAGCGGCAGATCTAGAGTAAACAGGGGAATGTCAGGCCCCGAAGTAGGCAAGGTTTTTAATTTGGAACAGAAGGAGGAAAAACCTCAGTATTCCAAGAAAACCAAGTCAAAGATGTACGAGTCAGAGCAGAGAGTACATGAAACAGAAGGTAATACACATCAGCAAGGAAATTATTACAACAGATCTGAAAAGAAATATGAAAGGGACTTTAAAGGAGGTAAAGGTTCCTCTGAAGCAAATTGGAGAAGCAACAGAAAACCTGAAGATGAAAGTGAAAGCATCGCCCATGGTGTAAAGAGAGCTGATGAAACAAAGAATAATTTAAAATTAGAAACTTCCATAAAACCTTTGGATAATGCCAACAAAGCTGAATCAATTGAAATTAATCAACCCTCTAGAGAGCATGGTAAAGATTTAGTGCATAAAAGAAGCAATTACCCTGTAGAGAGCATTCAGAAAAAATCAGATGTTGAGAAAAAATCTGGGAAATCCAAAAAACCAGGACCTGAAGTGTATAAGTCAAAAGAGACCCACACAGGTGTGTATGGATAGATTTTATTTTTTGTTACTATGCTTATATCAACATTTAAAATATATTTCAACGTTTTTATGATTTTAAATTTATATTTTTTGTGAATATCTGTTTTTTCCAAAGTGCATTTCCATTATGGCATGTGATATTTTAAGACCACATACCCATTTCGGGATGTGAGGAGACTTTTTAAAATCTGTAGCATCAGTTTGTTATATACACCGTGTGCATGCAGGTTTGCTAATCGAGCAGCTGATGGCCAGCACATACGAGTGTATGGTGTGTTGTGAGAGGATACGTGGCCACTCAGCTGTGTGGAGTTGCCAGAACTGCTACCATCTCTTCCACTTACCCTGCGTCAATAAGTGGGCACGTTCACCCACTGCCAAAGTTGAAGGTACTTGGTCACCTTGCAAACATGGTTCTTACCACTCATGGAAAAGGCTTCAATTGTAAACTCACATCTACACTTCGTGTACAATTTAATCCATGTAATTTGTTTACATGTCTTTTTAGTGAAATGTTTTGTTTGTTGTGGCCTGTACATGTGTAGATGGGAGCGATGGTTGGCGATGCCCAGCCTGTCAGAATGTTACCGACAAGGTTCCATCAAACTACCGCTGTTTCTGTGGTCAGTACACATGTATTTTTGTATATCAAAGTGTTATCTCTTTTACGTGCAAATTTTCTACAATAAAGGCTACTTCCATACAGTAAATAGTGGTGTTTTATTCAGGAAAAGTTCTCAACCCTGAATGGAATCGGACGGATATCCCTCACAGCTGCGGAGAGATGTGTGCGAAACACAGGCAGGGCAGCGACTGCCTTCACCCTTGCAACATGTAGGTTGGCAGGCGTTGTTCCTACACAAATAATAATTTCTATGCAACCCTGGCGTGGTGTTATACTTGTCGAATGCCGAATAATTGACTTGAACATGTTGCTTGTTTCCATGTTCTGTAGCCTTTGTCATCCTGGCCCATGTCCATCATGCCCTGCCTTTCTCACCAAAAAATGTGAATGTGGCCGAAGCAGGTAAGCTTTTTCTGTTTTCTTTTAAGAAATGAATCTAAAATTAATATTATTATAAACATTCCTCACCTAAATGTATGACACTTACCCCTTTGCTATTTCATTTCTCTATTAGAACTGGATAGGTTTTTTGTTTGAAGACTTGTATTATCCTATTTGCATTGCAAGCTGTGTTACTGTTTGGTTTTAATTCTACTGTGTGCGTTTTCTGGCAGCCAGTCTGTGCGTTGTGGTCAGTCGACCGTAGTGCGATGTTCCGAAGTTTGTGACAACTTGCTGAACTGTGGGAAGCACACCTGTGCTCTGATCTGTCATCCAGGAAACTGTGAATCATGCCCCATTAAGCTGGTACAAGGTGTGTGCTATAATCTTAACTGAAACATAATTGGAAACTCAAATTCGATTTTTGTTGCTCAACTGCCACTTTTGTGACATATACATAGTTAGGCATTCAACATTTTTAAAATCCACATTTTCGAAACAGTTTGACTTCTAACAATAATTGCAGAAGATGTAATTATAACTTATATTACTCCTGTTTCACTAGTTGCTGGTCTAGATGATAATTGACTGCTAACTTAATATGATAACATTCTTAAACTCTTTAACTTGCACAATTTTAGTGTATGGAAGCCTACTTAAAATTATTTCCAATATGTGAATTAAGTTGAAACAAAAGAAAATCTACATTGATGTATAAAGCCTGTGATAATATAAAGTTGGGCCTGAAAGCGTGCATATAGTATTATACGCAGGAATAGTTATTCATGTTTGTTGCCATTATATAATTTCTAATTACTGTTAGCCTGAAAAATATATATTTCCATGCTGTATATGTGTTTATTTCTCAACCTCTGGCAGTGTGTCACTGTGGAGCTACCAAAAGAGAAGTGCCCTGTGGGGGAGAACTTAAAGAGTTCTCTTGCGAGAAGCCGTGCAACCGGTCAGTCCTACACTCTTGGAAAAAGCATATACAAATGTCGATTGTTATTTTCACATCAATGAAAAGGATTTTAGAGCAGTGTTAATATGCATCATCGAAGTCAAATACAGATACAACCGTTTGTTTAATATTGGCATTGACATCTCTCTTTTTTCTACTTTTTTATAACTCATTCGCGAATACAAAATTTTACTCTCTTTTCTCCACTTTTCCACTGAACAGATCTCTGGCTTGCGGAAACCATTGCTGCCAGGAGTTGTGCCACCCAGGCGTTTGCCGGCTCTGCCCCCTGCTGCCTGGGGAGGCCGGGAGCTGTCCCTGTGGACAGACATCATTGGAGAAGCTTCTCGACCTGGGCAGCCCAGAGCGCAAGAGCTGCACAGACCCCCTGCCCACTTGCACCAATGTGTGCGGGAAGCCCCTGCCGTGTGGCTCAGATGGTGAGAAGGACTAACTTTGTGCGTGTGCTTGTGCCCGTGGAGTGTTTTGTTCACCAACGGTTGAATGCCCGGTCACTTTGCCCTGCCACTTTAACATAAGGGCAAACTGTTTAACAGGATGAGTGCCCATTTGAGTCACTCATGTACTTTATCAAATACAAAACTGAGTAAATTGCATGATTTTCTAAAAATGCACACCTGTTGGTGTATTAAGGAGATATACTCCCTAGGAACCCTCATTTCGTGATGCTTCTGCTTGTTCACATACAATCCACCTGGCACTTTGTTGTCATTCTTTGTGTATGGAATTGTAGTAACCTTTCATATGTGGTTGATGTTTGCTGTTGTTCATAGATCTGGTTCATACCTGCCCGGCTATATGCCACGAAGGGCCCTGTGCACCATGCACAGGTGTGTCGACCATTGTTTGTCGATGTGGATGCAAAACTAAGGTGGGCACCTGCTGTTTGTCAAAACATTTGTTTACACCTCTTTTATGAGGCCATACCTTTTTTCTTGTTCATAGGGAAATTATGAGAATCTTGTTCACGGTTCACATGCTCCAACATGTGGTGATGAGTTGTCATTTTGTTCTAACAAAAAGGTTTAATCAGTTTCCACAAATGCAAGTTCACAACATTAGCCCGGTTCAGAACTAACTTTTATTTTAAAGTTACATTTAGGGCTGCAAGATTGTTTTCATTTTTTTCATTCGCTTGAAAATGCATTTCATGCTGCCGTTATTACGTTGAGTTCATGAGAATGATTGTAATGTGTTGCATATAACCGAAAGCAGGGAAGCAACTCTGCTGTATGGTGACTTGTTTCTTGTAGTTTAGCCAGCTTTGCACCGTATATGTCATTGTTGTGCTAGATTAAACTCAACACATTATTTTTACAGTTATATTTCCAGTTATATGTGATCATTTAAAATGTCTAGTTTTTTACAGGAAAAGCAACAAATTCACTAAAATATTGTGTTCTATTTGCATAAATAGAAGGCAAATTGTTGTCTACGCGAGGTTAAACTATTTTTTACTTGTAGGAGGTACCCTGTGTGGAGGTTCAAGAAAGTGGTAAGTGAAAGCTCATTTGATAATCTTATTGCAAATTAACATTTGATATTTAAATACGAAAAAAAACTTTGCATTATTTCTAACTTGATAATATTGTATGCTTATTTTCAATTACTTTACATAAGACTACAAAGGTCTACATCAAGTCCAGGTCACTCTTTTTCCATGTTAAATGCAATTGCGAATGGTGATATAATGTATTATTTTACTTCTGGCATGCTATGCAATCGAGGTTGTTGTATCAACCCAAGAGTATATTTTGTTAATTTTCCTCCTGCCTGGTGGCTAAATTAATAAGATAAGTTTTATACAATGCAAAAGTAAAAATTGCATGGCAGGCGTATACATATTTGATTGATGGTCTAAACAGTCCTAAAATATTTTTTTGCATGATGTAATTTATTACACATTTAAATTACGCATGATGTCTTGCGCATTAAACTACTGTTCATTAATATTACATTTACCTTTTAAAAATTATTATACTCAGAGCATCGCTTTGGGCTTTGAGTTAAAATATTTTAATGTAAGTTTTAGATGGGCTTTTAATATGGATCAAAGACTTCATACAAAGGACAATGGGTAATATTTGTTCTCTTAATACAAGACGGCCTTCTATAATTTGCTTTACTGTGGGTGTGCTGATGTTTGTAAATGAAAATGTTTGCTCATTAAGCTTAAAAATACAAACACACTTGTATCATGGTGTCAAATAAATATGCAAAGGATACTAATGTAAACACATTGCACATTTAAAAATGTATAAGTTCTTGTAAGTTTTTAAACATAAGCATAAATCCCCTTTTCCAATTTAATTTGCCTTCACAGTTGAGCTGGTTGCTTAAATTACTGTGCATGTATTAATCATTGAGGGCAATGCCACGGTCATCAGGGACAAAACCGTGTACAATAACAAAATTCAGGACCTACTTAATGATGGTAGCTATATAACAATTAAAAGAGATCCCATCAACAGCCTCGTTACAAAAACGAAGAGTATCATCATTGATTCAGCTTCATTAATTGAACAGACCAAACGGTTTTCCTTAAAACCTTCTGCTGCTAGACCACCCAGATGATATGGCTTACCAAAAATCCATAAAGAAGGTACACCCCTTCGTCCCATCGTCTCCACCATTGGCTCACCCACCTACAAACTGGCCCGATATCTGTTTGAGATCTTGACGCCATTCACTGGTAAGACCACCTCTTCTGTACTTAACTCAGCTCACCTGGTATCATCAATTAAAGACATCTCACTGTCCCCAGATGATTTGCTCGTTAGTTTCCATGTTGTTTCTTTGTTCACCAAAGTTCCTGTGCCTGATACCATTGCAATAATTGAAGATTTGGTCCAACAAGGACTGAATGCTGATGTACCAGCCCTGATTAGACACTGCCTCACCAATACATCACCTGGAATGGAACAATCTACAAACAAACTGAAGGCATCCCAATGGGTTCTCCCTTATCTCTGGTTGTAGCCAATATTTTCATGAAAAAAATTGAGACTGATGCCATCCAGGCATTCACTCTATGCCCGTCCTTGTGGAAGAGGTACGTGAATGACACGTTTGTCATCTGGCCACATGGCCGACCAGCTCTGAAACAATTCCTCAACAACATCAATTCCATACACTCATCCATCAGATTCACCATGGAGGTAGAAAAGGATGGCATGCTACCTTTCTTGGATGTCCTAATAAATAAGAGACCAGATGGCTCAATGAGCCATTCTGTCTACAGGAAAGTAACCCATACTGACGCCTACCTAAAACCTGATTCCCACCACCATCCATCCCAGAAGAATTCCCTCATCAAAACGCTGCACCATAGAGCTCAATGTATATACGACCATGAACACCTAACCAGTGAACTAAAACAGTACACGAAGCTCTCAAGGCGAATGTATATTCTGACTACACAATCCGCAAAGCCATCACCCCAACCGTGAGGAAGGAGCCATCTGAGGATCCAATCAAAAGCAATATCTTGCCATACATAGCAGGGGTAGCCAAAAATATTTACAAAATCATGAACAAACTCAAGATCCAGGTCCGATTTAATACAGTACATAAAATGTGTGATCTGATCTCATCTGTGAAGGACAAGATTCCTGACATGCAATATCCCGCCGTCTACAAACTAAGTTGTATCTGCGGCAGCAGTTACATTGGGGAAACTAAGCGACATATCTCGGACCGTGTTCGTGAGCATAAGATAGATTTCATATATGGTAGGACCAATACTTCTGCTGTGGCTGATCATTATTTTAATGCAGCTGGCTCACACGAAATTTATTTCTCTAAGACGATGGTACTTTGCAAGCCTAATGGCTATCAACAAAGATTTGTTCATGAAGCCATCCATATATAGAGACAGAGACGCAATTTAAACCGAGAGGATGGTTATAAACTCGGCAATCATTGGAAAGATGTCCTCAACCACTTTGGGTCATGACTTGATTTGTCTTTTCTTGTCAACCTCCACCGTCAGCAGTGCGGGTGTGTGGAGCGAGGTGCAATTGATTGTCTGGCGGCCCTTTGATTAGTGTAGTTGCTTGTCCTCTCCTACATTAACATTAGCTGCCCCGCCCATGCTGCTGACACACTTTATAAACAGTTTGCCTTTAGAGGCTAACCCCCCTTTTCCTGATGATGACCGCTGGTGTTGCGATCGAAACGTCGTGGTTTGATTTTATTTTTATTACTGAAAGAACCAATAATAAGTCTACGTTATAGACTGCCAGTACGCTCACTCAGGTCAATAACCAGGCTACAGTCTACATCAGTGGTTTTTGTTTTTTATTATTTGTATTCACTTTATTTTTTTTTTTCTACGTGACTTTACCAAAGGAACCAAAGGATATGAATTCCTGCAGTCACGAAAGTTTTAAGTCAAAATTTATAGGTTAATTATTATTGATTATTATTAATGTTAATATGAAATTTAAACCGAAAGACCTAACGAGTAATTTTAAACCAATGATAATTTAATTAATTATCAGTTATTATTCACCAAAAAGACATAATATGTATCACAGAGCAGAAGGAGTCATATATGGGCAGTGACATCTGTTAATGGAGATGAAGCACAATGTAAACTTACACTTTGAAGGAAATAGTGTATACACTTTGATGAGTAACCAAAAACATTGCTTGCTGTAATAATATTCTTTGGCAATGTTCATTGTCTGAACGCATGCCTTCAACTCTGGTTTCCTGCCACAAGCACATATGGGACAGACTGCTGCATAGAGGGCAGCCACCACATTCTTGAGTGGCATTGTAGCTTTTATTGAATGTCCCAGAAATGGGTAGGCAATATCCACGGAGATGGTGATATCTAATCTCAAGAAGACGACATACAGGATGACGAGTGTGATGATAACTCTAGCAGAATGTACCTCATTTGTGATGGGTTTAATCAGATGAGACAGTCCTCTCTCACCTGCTGCCTGTGCCTGCATAATATGCGCAGGATCGCTGCATTCACCACAACCATGAAAACGATTGTGAAGACATCCTTCAAGAATATGAAGATTTTACCATGAACAAGCCTAAAAGTCTTGTTTGGAAACTTGTAGAAGCAGGACCCTAAACTAGACTTGTTTTTATCCAAAGTTACATTTGTGAGTTGTGACGTAGAAAATGGAATGAAGAAGCTCAAGGCCAACTGGGAAGGTAGCCAAGACAATGGCGTTAAACATGTGAACCAATTGCTTGTTTTTGTAGCGCATTTTTAACGAGCTGTGTAGCAGTGAAATAATCTGAGCCCGAATGTGAACCACACACTCAAGGACCGAGTTGAGGCTACAAAGAACAAGCACATTCGGACAAAGAGGCTGTGGTTTTTACTGATGTCGGCTACAAAATGTGCTTGTTCTTTGTAGCCTCAACTCAGTCCTTGAGTGTGTGCTTCACATTTGGGCTCAGATTATTTCACTGCACTACAAAAGCAAGCAATTGGTTCACATGTTTAACGCCATTGTCTTGGCTACCTTCCCAGTTGGCCTTGAGCTTCTTCATTAAATTTTCTACGTCACAACTCACAAATGTAACTTGGATAAAAACAAGTATAGTTTAGGGTCCTGCTTCTACAAGTTTCCAAACAAGACTTTTAGGCTTATTCATGGTAAAATCTTCATATTCTTGAAGGACGTCTCCACAATCGTTTTGTTGGTTGTGGTGAACGCACAAGCAATCATCATCAGGTGATGATAATTGCTTGTGTTGCAGTCGAAACGTCGTGAGAATTTTATTGTTTTATATTTTTATGTTTTATTATTTTATTGTTTACCTTCTACGTGACTTTACCAAAAGAACGAAGAATATGAATCCCTGCAGTCATGAAAGCTTTAAATCAAAATTTATTAAGAAGCTGCATGTGACTTGATGACTTGTTTTGCAGAAGGGCTGAGCTTCATTTGCGACAGGCGGTGCAACAAGAAGAGAAAGTGTGGCCGACACAAGTGCAACCAAGTGTGCTGCGTGGTAAGCAATCCCTTCAGCTCAGACGTCGGTGACACCCAGAGGCTCAGTGCAATCACTGTCATGCATAAAATCTGTTGAAAGGGTCCGTTGGTGTGTATGTATTTGTCAAGTGAAATTCAACATTTAAGTAAATTATATGAAATAAATTGCATCAGGAAATGGTTATAAATATGTTATTCTTCAATTAGAGAAATTTAAGCTTGAAGAACCTGATGAGCTATAAAGCACTTTATCACAGGTGTCCAGCCCAAGTTGTTTCGGCAATGGCGGAAAATTACAGAGGAACTCTTATAGGTAGATAAATTAAGCAATCGTACATAAACTCAAACTAAAACAATATTGCATGGAAAAACATAACAGTAATAGTTAAAAATGATACAAAGAATCCATTTTACATTTCAATTGAAGTTCTACAGTTCTTAGAGCATAGTTACAAGTCACTTTTGCAAATGTCGCTGTAGTTGGTAATTGACTTTCAAGTAAGTATCAATGCAGGAATTTCACTTGTTTCATATCCTAAAACGTGAAGTTTATTCCTGGCCGAGTCTTATGGTCTTGAACACCCATGGAGGCATGGGGCTGCAGTGATGTAATTTTAAGCAAGTCCGTCCCTCAAGCCCCTGTTCCCTTTGCCCCCCCCCCCCCATTCCCAGCAGGATCCCGAGCACGCGTGTCCTCTGATATGTGGTCGCACGCTGTCGTGCAAGCTGCACAAGTGCGAGGAGCCCTGCCATCGCAGCGACTGCCAGTCGTGCTGGCAGACAAGTGCGTGTCTCCATGCATCATACAGCAGTGAACATATAAGCAGTTTTCAGATTGGTTGTTGCAAGTCAGTGCCTCGATAGCGTAACATGTTATTCCATTGCCTCCTCTGCTTTACTGAGTGTTCTTATCATGTAAACTATAATGCAAAGTGGCCACCAACGAAGATATCTTGATGCTCTTCAATACTGGTGGTCCTTGTGTGCTTTATCATTGTCAACCTCATTCTTATTGTGTTTGTAGTGTGTAATTTACAGTGCAGGTTTCTCTTACCTATGTTTTGCTTGGTTTACCACCCGTGTCACTTGAAGTTTTTTTTCCTGCTCTTTATTATGAATATAAAGTTGGTGAAGCCAACAACTTTTTTATTCCACTACATTAAGTGTGTATGTAGAACTTATTTCGCAGCGTACGTAGCCAACCATGAGAATCAGAGTTGCGGGCAAAGGATAACAAACTAAACACAAAGTGTAATGTGTTGAAAATTGCAACATTTTTTCAGCAGAATATGTACTTATTGTGCTTTGCAGGCTTTGAGGAGCTGATGTGTTACTGCGGAGCTGAGGTGTTATTCCCCCCAGTGTCATGCGGCACAAAACCACCCGAGTGCAAGCAGCCTTGCTCCCGCCAGCATGATTGTGATCATCCAGGTGAGTCTACAGTTCTGCTCACTGAGGCACTGCTTGCTCTGAGTAAAATCTATTTACCCATTACAGGTGGTGGCAGTCTTTTAACTACAAGGCGTTGTAGCTGTGATTTATTTTTTCTTTTCAGTGTACCACACATGCCACAGTGATGACAAGTGTCCTCCGTGCACATACCTGGTCGAGAGGTGGTGTCTTGGCAAGCATGAGGTTTGTTGCCATGTTTCTTGAGCCTCCCTTTAATGATCAATTTAAACTAATGGCAGCACTGTATTTTACGCAACCAAGTAACAAATGGAGTGATGCTTTTTTTGTTTTGTTTCCTGTTTGACACTGCAGCTACGTCGTAATATCCCATGCTACCTGCGGGAGATTTCATGTGGCTTGCCCTGCCAGAAGACTTTACCGTGCGGACAACACAAGTGTGCCAAGGCCTGCCACCGTGGAGAGTGTGTGCCCAGAGCCCTGGCAGAGCCGGATGGAGAGCCTTCTGCCGTGTTGGGGTGCGGTCAGCCCTGCACGATCCCTCGGTCAGGCTGTGCCCACCCTTGTGGCTCCGTATGCCACCCTGGGCTGCCGTGCCCCAGGACCTCGTGCAAAGCCGAGGTACAGTGTGCCCACTTGAATTTACTGGCGCAAATGCTGAAGTAATAGATTATAATGTCGAACTCATTACACACAAAGTGCTTGCCAAAATTGTACCACAATACCTTGCTGATTTCGTAAAGGAGCATAAACCATCACGCAAACTCGGTCATCCTTGCAGCGGCTTTTGGCTAGCCATTAAACAAAGACGGTCACTGCATCGCACGCTTTCAAATGCGCTTCTGCGGCCGTCTAATACTCTTCCAATAGTAGGAAGCCACTGGAGCTATGCACTGTCAAATCGAAATTGATAACTAATTTCTTTACAATTACTTTTTGTGTTTAGTTTCTTGTCCTTCCCCCGCACCACCGATTAGCACAGCTGGCTACGCATGGCGCGAAAGAAATTCAACATGATACGTACATACATACAAGATGCCTGTGCAAGGTCGCTGCTGCAGCGAGCTGATGTGCGTGTCTGCCTTCCTGCAGGTGACACTGCTATGCAGCTGCAGTCACAGGAAGGAGAAGCTTCCCTGCTCACAGTCCTCCTCCTCCTACCAGCGGTGAGGCTCTCCACCCAGCTGGGGCTTGATATTTCTCTTTCAAATCGGTAACGCTCATCAAAAACAATCCCTAGTCAATCTGAACGAGCATTATTAGATCATATTTTTGGAATTTTACATGTCTCATCATGTATTCTGTGATTTGATTGTAAGAACTGTTAAACAAATGAATGTGGAGTATGCTTCAAGGTGTTTTTATTCATTTTCATAAACCTGTTGATGAACCTTTTGTGACATGGTACGATGTGCAACTTGTGGTTGCGGGTGTTTCTACCTTCGCAGAATTGCTACAATAGCATTGGTGAGCAAGCTCTCGGACATGCAGATGGGAGAGTGCACGGAGCTCGCCAAATTGGTGACTGAGAAGGAGGCGCAGCAGTCCAGGTGCACACGCGCGTTTTGTTGATCACACTTTTAAAGACTTAAAGAAAGAGTGCACCGCAGTAGAATCCCTACAACTCTCATCTCACTACCAGATGTGCACATCAACAACAGGATATTATGTCACGTGGCCCTCCCTCACTTGATTTAATTGCAAGTGTCTGGAAATAGAAGGACTCCCATACTTAGTGCTACCCCCTCCCCCTGCCTACCCCCCTTCCTGCCTACCCTTCCCCTGCAAACCCCCACCAACTCCTTTCCTAATTCTAAACTGGGCCTCATAAAAGCTCACCAGCAGTACTTGGTCAAATAAGTCAAAGTTAACATTGCGTGTGTGTATCTGCGTTTAAAGAAAAACAACCCAATTGTGATTCCTTCCATTAAATGAACACATTCTTCATGTTTTAGTTACATATGTATTTTAAAGTGACAAGTGGTTTATAATTCTTAGTTTCAAGTTGTGCTGTATGCCACTGCATACCTAGAAAACAATGCCAAGTTTTTGTGGAAGTTTGATGCAAAATTCCAAGAGGCATCTTATTCAATTCACTGGTATGTCATGGTATGCAAGGTGTATAACAGTGTTGTAGTTACGCTTTCGAGAAAAAAAAAATCTCCTTTTAAATGTTTACCACAAGTATGGTGTTGTAAATATCGTAACATTGTTTGTAACATATTTGTTTTCTTGCAGTGATTTTTTTTGTTTTTTGACAGACTGGAATGTACAGAAGAGTGTGCTGTGTTGGAGAGAAACAGGTGAAATACATTTATTATTTGCGCATTATATCCTACACATAACCCATGGAAAAATAGTTGTGTAATCGTTTCGTTACGTGCATTGGTGGTTCATTTTCGAACATATGTCATGGCTCTTCATTGTTCTGTTTTCCAGACGGCTGGCAGAGGCCCTGAACATTGATCCATCCACCAACCCCTTCAACAAAGCAGTTGCCATGAAATACTCTGACTTCTTGAAGGAAGAGGCCAGGTACTATGTTTATTAATAGTACCAGTGTGCTTTCCTTCCCTGCAGGAGTAATAATCGCTCATTATATTCTTATAGAAATGTATAAAAGTATCTATACGTTTTATAAATCATGTAAGGCTGGCTGAACAAAGTGTACAAAGCATGAAAGGTTGCATTGAAATATTTACGTTTTAAATTACTTTGACACACGTGGACTAAGCATTTAATAACGAGTTGGCCGACAGCCACATCTGCGGCAATTACATTTTTGCTCCCTGCTAGACATGTTATTCCATGCTTTAATTTCCTTAAATAATCAAAGGAAGTTCATGGTTGATGCACTTCTCTATTTGAAGATTTGGGTTTATTTTTCCCTACCTCCCTCTTGAGACTTCGTCCATCTATCTTGAGGCCCCACCCCCTCTTTTTGAGGTCCCGCCCCTTCCTCCAGACACGGACTTGATGTCCTGGCGCTCCAGGATACTCGCGTCTTGGGATGCCCTACATGCCAGTGTCTACCACATCCATGGATCACAAATCTAAAATAAAAAAATCTCTTCAGTGTGCGACAGTGGTCATCCAGAAGATACTGTACAACATCATTGGAACCTCCTTTGCCAGTAACAAAATATGATAATTGTTTTTTTACCCTTTTATCTGGCAACAAAACTGACACCTCTTTTTTTACAAGGAGTCATGTTTACATTGACCACAATACCTGCGGTCGGAATGCAAACAAAAAACACAACTCTGATAATGTTGCACTGTCCTTGAAAATGATTGGTCCACACCTGAGACAGCTTTTCTTAGAGCCTCGTCTCACATGGTGTTGGACCAGATGACGCCAAAAGGCGCCTTTTGGTGTCTTAGAGCCTAGTCTCACACCATGTGAGACTAGGCTCTAAGAAAAGCTGTCTCAGGTGTGGACCAATCAATTTGAAGGACAGTGCATACATTATCAGAGTTGTGTTTTTTGTTTGCATTCCGACCGCAGGTATTGTGGTCAATGTAAGCATGACTCCTTGTAAAAAAAGGTGTCAGTTTTGTTGCCAGATAAAAGGGTTAAAAAACAATTCTCACTGTACAACATCTTACGATGCAATGCCTGAACCACAAATTTGAAGACGACATCACAGTGATACACTCCGCTGCTCCTGATGCGGTTGTTTGGCACAACCACCTGAATGTTAAATTGTAGTTGTTGCTCTGCATTTACATCAGCCATGCGAAATAATAATTTTGGACGTGTTTTTAAATACGGTGCCACTTTTTTTCTGCGAGGCTTTGGCAACTGTGGGATAAAGAAAGTTGATTTTAGTGATGCAACGCGAGTGGGTAGTAATGGGGGCCTGGGGAAGGGGAGGAAAAGTAGTAGGTAGTGGTGGGGCGGCTTCATGATAAAACCAACATTTCTCTGACAGCAGTGCAATAATAATGGCAGTTAGAAAATGAACTCACGTGACGGTTTAACCAAAGATACGATGGACTGATAACAGTGACCCACATTCTCATATTTCCTTCTCATGTATTGGCTGTAAAAGCGATGTTATGCGTTACAGGAAAGATTTGAAGTTTGTGCACGGAGTAGAAGACGAAATACGCAATCTGGTAGAAGCCACGAACAAGGTGGGTGGGAAGAACGGCTTCATTCGCTTTCATTTTCAACTGCAGACGTTAAAGAATAACTGTTATCTTTCTTTTCGTCAAATTAAGCTAGTGTATTATACATTTTCAAAACGACAAAACTGAATCCAATAAATTACTTTCACATGTTAAATCATTGTCAACACATAACATGATTTTTACGGGTGTATATTTTATAGTGCGACCTGAATAACCTTGTTATTGAGGCCCTGGAGGAAACGAACAGTCACCTGCCGGGCCCCCCTGGTGTTTTAAGTGCCTCTCGGTTGCTTTTGTGCACAGGGCAAACACGCACGTCGCAGCCACTGCTTTCCGCCCATGAACCGTGACCACCGGCGCGTGATTCACGAGCTGGCCGAGAGCTACGCGCTTGAGAGTCTGAGCTACGACAATGAGCCCAAGCGCAACGTTGTCGTCACGGCCATCAGGTCTGCTGCCCTTGCTCTTACCATTCATTCCCTGTACGATGGCTGGGCTTTTTTTCACATGCCAACAACACTCGAGGCTCCCCCCATGTTCTGTGCTCTCCACACCTCCGCTTTCCAGTTGTTTTGATCTCTTGTCGCGTCTCTGTTAAGTTTACATTGCCCGCATAAGATGCGGAGAAAAACTCATCCCAAGGATGGGTAAAATAGGACTATTTGGTCATTTTGAATATTTGGTCATTTATATGGAGCTTGCACACACAATTTCTGTCTGGTGTCAACTATCAGTTTACCTTCATCACTGTGATTTACCATAACTCGGTTAATCCTCATAACTGTCAGTTGGTGCTCATTTCAAATGCTTTCCACCTTTGGCGACCTGCCACATCTCTCATTGAGAGTCCCTTCCAACTCCTCACATTTTTCCTCCGCTTTTTCCCTTAAAACATTTGATGCAATTGAAATTATTTTTTTTTGTAGGGGGAAGTCGTGCAACCCAAGCCCACCCCTGTGCGCCCTGATAGAGAGGGAGCTGGGACCCAAGCCTCCTCCCCCGATACCACACCACGCAAATCGGTGAGTGTACACAGAAAACTCTTAACACCTTACTGGGTTTATGTATGTGCGTGTAATTTACTTCAAAATCTTTCTAGGTCCAGGCTTTTGCCTTATTGCATAATCACTTAAAATGCGTGTGCATTGGTGTAATACTTGATTTGCTTGAATGTGGCCAAATGCTTTGCTATGTAGAGCATTCGGCCCGAGTAATTTAGACTGCCGAGTCATAACTGGCCCTCTCTGGTTGTGTGCCCTTAGCCTTGACAAGCCGGCGTCGGATGTCCCAGCAGTGGCGAAAGATGAACCTACCATCGACTACTTCGACATGCAAGAATGAGTCGTGAAATCCCACCGTCTTCTCGGTTTTTGAAGCCGTCGTATATTTCTTTTGTGTACATCAATCTTGGACGTCATATTTGGTAGAGCAAACTCTCCTTGATGAGTGCATACACAACGTAACTTTTTAAATTGATAAAACGTTACATGCCACCACAATTTGTTCTCATTGAAAATACTTCAGATTTTAGACTGGTTTAAATAATCAAAACTACAAATGGGAGTAAATGATAATTTAAAATATTCTAATTAATGTTGCATAAGCATACTTTTGAATTTAATTGATGGGTGGTTGTATGTGATGAGAATAATTTCAAAGTCAGCGTTTACATGCATACGTTTGTTTGCATTTTCTGGACTGTATGATGCAAAAGCTTAAGGTGCATTGCTGGACGTGACCCCTTGGACATGACTGAGGTCGACTTAAAAGATGGTAAACGGTTAGGGTTGCTCATTTACACATTCCTCCCTGTAAGCACATCAATCATAAAAGTCGAAACCAATTCAGATTGTGCTGTTGAGGAAAGATGTTTGCAAATTCAGCTTGCATTTTTGGAATTTAGAGTGCTGCCTTTTGGAATCTGTATTAAACGTAGGTATGCCTTTGTTTTGTAGCATGCATAACCGCCACTGAATTATTTTGCAGAATTAACGAACGCTATTTAGTTGTGGATCTTCCCGATTCAAAAAGTCCTAAAGTTTAGAACCTGCAGCACAAAATTAACGAGGTTTGTCCTGTGGAAATCATAGTTGGCAAGGCTGACAGATTTGGCGGTCAGTTGTGCATGATAATTAAGTCATCTTATAGGCAACTGTAAACCTTTGGCTAAGCATAATAATAGTTACACAATGTGGGCATTCAAAATCAACTACTTAACATACTATGTTTTAAAATGCTTTTTTATTCAATTGAGAGGACTTGCAGTGCACGTATCATAATACATTTGCAGATATTACTTAGTTCCAACTTAAACAAATAAAGTACAAATAATGATATGCATAACATGGCTGTACATTACATGTATGTTCAATTTAAAATGCTTGATGCCTCAGAAGGCATTGCGTATGAACCATTTTAATGTTGGGTTCCTGACAATTCAGATGAAATTGCTGTATAAAATGTGCATCGGACCGCTGCAAAACTAGATGTAAGATCGCTTGTCAAGTGTTAAGAAGTAAGGTCTCAAATGGCCTGAACTCTTTACAACCACAAACAAACCTTGACATTTTAATCATTCACGGAGGCATGTATAGTTGAAAACTGCATAAAAACTGCTTTTTTGCTGCACGTGATCAAGAAAATAAACAATTTTGCATTGTCCATTGCAATGTTTGTTCTTTTCAAAAGCAGTCCTCTTCGTAATGACACTTGTATGTTTCAGGTGCTTTGTGTTTAAACACATTCCTGTGGAGGGAGCTGGTAGGAACGTTGGGTTGCTCTGGTCAATGGCCAGGGTCAACGCTGGCGTGGTGTATTCCGCAAATATGCCCGACAGGGCAGGCACAAGCCGGCGTGAGTAGGTTAAACGTTGAGTTTTATAAGGGCACCACGGGTGACCAGCCCCTCCCCACCCAGCCCCACCCCTCCCACTCCCCACCCAGCCCCACCCTCCCCACCCAGCCCCTCCCCACCCTCCCCTCTCCACCCAGCCCCACCCCTCCCATTTTTTGATGCACGACGGACGGACACAATAATCCCCTGTGGGCTGGTGTAACCAGGAGGGTTCCTACCAGTAACAGTGCAGTTGAGTTTATGCCGACGACTACGCTGTTGTGTCTTCAATGATGCTCTGCGTGAAGAGTACAGGCGATACGAAGATACATTGACGTTCCATTGTTTCACCGGGCACACGGCTCCTCACAGATGAAGGGGTGACTCAAAAGCTCCTGGGAGGATGGCCTCTTCAGCTTGTCCCTGAAATCACAGCCACAGATATTACCCTCATCACTTAACGCCTATTGTATCGCTAAATGGAACACATAACATTGTCCTTCAACATGACATTTTCCTGCATGCGCAATGGAACTTTTGATTCAAAATAATAAAATAGCCTCGGTCGAGCTGATGAATTCATAATTTATGTACTGTAGATTGGATTTTAATATGGTAAGGTAAATTGAGAAGGTTCTCCTTCCATTGAGATACTTGATTGAAGACAAAGCAGTTACTCAGGATTTAGTATTTAGACCAGTGAGTTTGCAGTTACCTACACTTTCATAACCATCATTACACAAATGCGAGTGTGGAACTGAGAACCACAGCATCTTCACCTGATGAAGCATTGCTCCACAAATTCTTGTGCCTCCTTGGAAAAAGCTTGAGGCAGACCAGGCATAATCCCATTCCTTATGCCAATGTGGAGTAAAGCAGCCATGGGAGCCATGTCGGCGAAGGGTGGCCGACCCACAGCCATCTCGTGCAGCGTGCAGCCCAGGCTCCAGACGTCGGCCCTGCGCGCGTAGCCTGTGCCGTTGATCACCTCTGGAGCCATCCAATAGGCAGTGCCGTGCACGGAGTGCAGGCCCCCATTTTCGTGGCAGCTGAGTGCCAGCGCCACCCGCTGAGCGCAGCCAAAGTCGATGAGCTTCACGACACCGGCGGGCGTGATCACCGCATTGCTCCCCTTGACGTCGCCGTGCATCACGCCGTGGCCGTGCAGGTAGGCGAGCCCGCGGGTCATTTGCGCGATGTAGCTACGGCACACGGATTCGCCGAGGGGCCCAAACCCCCGGACCGTCTCCGCCACCGTGCCGCCTGGCACAAACTCCATGAAAATGCTGAAGCGGTTTCCCTCCATCTCCGTGCCCAGGTACTCGACCACATTGGGGTGACGCAGGGTGGTGAGCAGCTCCACCTCATCCTGCAGCTTCTGCAGCTCGCTCTGCTTTTGTCCACCTTGGTTGCCGTTCGCACTTTGGGAATCTCTGAGCTCCAGCTCCTTAACGGCAATCAGCTTGCCCTGGTTTGTCAGCCCGAGGAACACCTGTTGGAGATCAATGAAAACGCCTATAAAACAGGACTGTAATTTTATTTAATTTAAATCTAATGTCATTGGAATACAAATAATGTGTAAAAGTAAATCCTTCATGTTTTAAACCTGTTTAAATTCACAGTTTCTCATGCCTTTTGGCTTTTTAGTTTGCCAATCAGTTTTACTTTTTAATAATACATTTTATAGCATGGTAAAACGTTCCAACTATTAGGCAGACATTTGTTTTCTGGGTAGCTTTACGTATCGAATAAAGGGAAAGGTAGCGGGGATGGAGATGCTCACAGTTCCAAAGGCCCCCTTGCCCAGCCGGTTTCCCTTGATCCAAGTGATAGTCTGATCCTGTGTGGCATCATCGCTGAGGCTCGCTGCCTCCGGAACACTTTGCGAACCTGATGTGTGCCAATCTGGCTTTTCAATTAACGGTTCCCTCTTGAACGTCTGTAAGGCGAGTGCAGTGAAATCATTTCTACAACTTTCTAAAGTGTCCTCCTTGAGAGTGCCAAGTGGCTGTGGTTTGTCCTGTGCAGGCAACTCCCGCTCAACAAGTGATTTTTCTCGCGAGCCCTCTCTCCCCTCGTCTCCTGATTTTCTATTCTCCCCATTGGTGTCTACACTTTTGGATCTCGCGTGATTCTGCTCGGCTCGCGCTGGGCTCCCCTTTTGTCTGGAAGGAAACCCCAACTTGGGCTTGAGCTTCTTGACACGGCCCTCATTGCCGTGCAACTTAACATTTCGGCCACGTGGGCGAGCGTTCGCCGGTGACTTGGGTTGTCCGGCAGACACAGAGCGGGGGTGCCGAACAGGACCTTGCAAAGGCTGAGTCTGCCGCCGTGAAACGTACACGGCGCCTGTGAACATTTGCCAAATGGCCGGAGTCTGCACATCTTTGCGAGCAGACTCGGAAAACAGGTCGTCGTAATTCAGCTTTGCAAAGTCGCCGGCAGACATGGAGGGCGGGCCACGTTTCTCCAAAAAAATGTGGGGTTTCAATGAGCTCAAGGCTGCCCTCGTGTTGTCGTCGTGCAGCTTTAATTTCAGTGCAGAGTGTCGAGCAAGACGCTTCTTTGCAGAACGAGCTTTGGTCACCTGCGTGCCCTGGGATATCCCTTCCCTTGGAATGCCGAGTATGTTGGGGCTGATGCGTCCGTGTTGAGGTGATGATGGGCATGGAGATTTTATTGGAGTTCTCAGATGCTTGACTGTATATTTTTATGAGATTTTTCAGCTGTCACACCCGAGGAAATTGCCCTATTCGTCTTTTTGAGCCCCTTCCTCATTGGAGCATTTTTCGTTGAGGAAGTATTTACATCGACCGCATTTTTCACCAAAGACTCTTCAATCTCTGTCTTCCACACTCTTATGAGCGGAATTCCAGGCGGATAAATTGCCTCTCCGTTTTGTCCACCCTGCTTACCTGGCCTCGCCTCACTCCCAACCACTTCTGCACATGACTTTGGCTTCTGGGGTACCTTGGCTCCATCTTCATTCCCTCCACTGGTAACACCAGCTCCTCTCTCCTGTCTTGTCTCTGATTCTTCTGTAGGGTGGCAGCAATGCTGGCAGAAATGCTGGCAGCTGCACCGCAGCGGTGGAGTGGGCACATGCGTCGTCGTGATCAGAGTCGGTTCTTTTGACTTATTTTTGCCGACGAATAATTGTTCCTTTGGCACTGCTCGTTCTGTAGTTGCTAACAGATGACCGGAAAAAGCAGCCGTGTAACTCGAAGGCTTACTTTTGTCCACTGTGTTTGCTATGAAGTCAGGGGGAATGGCTGCAGGCTGACACTGGGATCTGTTCCTCACTGACACACTTCTGTTCATTACAGTGGCTTTCACATCGTCAGTGTCCGATGACAGGTAAGTTCTCTTCTTCACCTCATCCACTTTTATCCCTGCAGACACAGCCGAATCCACTCCCAGTATGACCACTGCGTTTAACTCTGTTTTCACAGGTTCAGTGTCCACCTCTTGTTTTCGTGAACACAGGGTTGTATGGCTTTCACACATTTCACTCGTATCTTCCACAGGTACGGAGTCATTCTTAAGACAACAATTAGGTTTACGATGTTGAACATTTTCACTTGAGCTAGGATCGCGTGGTTCTGACAATGTCTCTGTGTCTTCGTGTTTTGTTGCTGGAGTTATGGCTTTACTTGAGCTGTGGAGTGCCTGTACAATCGGCACTAACTCGTTCACCGCGCTGCTATTTAAGCACGTTTTCCTCATATCTTGATTCAATTGAGAACCACGGTTTTTCACGTAATTCGCAAGAGTTTTAGACCCGTTGTAATCACTCACACGGTGTTCAACGTTGGCGCGTTTAGGAGTCGTCTTCATCCCTTCGTCGTCATGGCGAGGTTCCAAATCCTTCGGGTGGTTCTTTCCGTGCGCTGTAACACAAACACCAAAGTCTCTCCCTGGCAGTAATGCTCGTGTGACAGTGGGCCTCGTGTGCTGGACACGGGCCGGCACGAATGACCACAGACGAGGTTGATGCGTCTGAGAAAAAGACGGGAATGTTCTGTAACGTCTGACGTTGACTTCGTCACCCTGAAAGTAGCTCTTCCTTGGAGTCACAACATCGGCGCTCTCCTTGTGAGTAACACAGTCCTCGGGTGTGTCGCAAAATCTCCGAATGCCAACCGCGGATGAATTAGCTTCGGCGTAAGCTTTGGAATGGATTTCGGGAAGGGGTGAGAAGATTTTTTTCGGCGTTGAAGGAGGCCTGAGCCACGCCGGCACGTCGGGCAGCTGCGCCCGACTTCCCGGGCCGGGATCGGAGAGCCCCAGCGTGGGAAGGGATCTGCTACCCTCCGCCGGTGATCGGGAGAGCGGGGGAGGCAATGGCAGTGATGCGCTGCGAATAGGTGGCAGACACACCTGTGGGAATAAACACGCGGTCTCCAGTTTGCACCATGTTTTCACTGCGGTGTAAAAACGTTATATCTGCCATTGGACAAAAAAACACATGTACGTGTATGGTTGTTATATGCAATGGATTATGGATTGTTTCCGTTTAACTATCTGACGTGTTTAAAAATATCCCCCGACCTCATTAATTAGTTAATTCCCAATATAGTATCGTTATAATGGAGGTCTGGCGTGGGTGACCACCAAAGAGGTTGTTGCAGGCTGCGGGCCTACAAGGGGGGCAGCAGAGGGCAGTGAAGTAAAATGTATTGTACTGTACTATGCCCCCCCCCCTCCCACCACCCTACATTCGGCAACCTGCACTGACCAGCGTGATGAAGTATGGTCATATAACCCCATGACCTGCATGGCCTGGAAAGGCCCTCATCCAGCACGTGCATTGACAACAAGCACTGTGCATGTGCACGTGATACGCACACGGCGCTATCCATTAATTCCCTCATTTACGCAGAGATTGCCCCCCAGAGTGAGGAGTGACCGGAGTTGGCATTTCACGTGCATTTGTTTGATGCTTGTGGTTGTCCAGCTCCCAGGCGAACTTGTTTCCGCTTTGCCTGCTGTGCATTGCCTTCCTGCAATGACCATCCGGGGGCCGTAGTGTCGATACCAGGTCCATTTTCCCAGCGTCAACCACGTCCGACGTGCAGCCGAGCTCTGCTTCCTTCAGGCTGGAGCTGCACGGGTCTCTATACAATCGGCGTTAACGCAGGGGCTTAGGTTTTTTTTTGCCCACACGTGATGATTGCAGAAAGCGCAAGTGTTGTTACATCAATGCAGCGCGCAGTAGACCGTACGCCATATAAAGTTTCACTTGAATGCTAACGTTCTTTGAAGGTCACGTTCTGAAGCCGCTGAGCCAAAAGAGCTGTCAACAGGTGGAATTGTATTGGCAACGAACCAGGAATGAGTTGGGTTTTTTCTCTCTCTAACTTTTTATCTTTTTAAAGTCTGTTTATGCTGAGAACCTGATCTCCAGACAAGCACGTTATACATCAACACTTAATAATACAAAGGTCTTTCAATACAGACTATTGTGTTTCTAAACGTAAAATCGGATTAAACGACGGTTGTGAGCACAACCTCTTCAAATAACAGAGACAAACATCGTACCTCATCATAACCCTGATGGAGATGGAGGTGTTCGTGGGGGACCTCTGCATAGCCCCAGCAGCCACAGGTCTGGCGGATCCCCTAGATTCCTGCTCAAGCCCTACTCTGCACAGAGAGAGAGGAAAGACAAAAGCCGTGGATTGTGCACACCTGTACCACGACCACATCTTACGAGTGCACATGAAACTGCCCAAGGGACGTGTTGCACAAGATAATTTGGTGAATTGCCAGAGATCAGGTGACTTAAAACACATTGTGGGCAATTGCCTCAGAGCTCCTATTAGTGCTGTTAATGGAGGCAACAATAATTGTAGGAGATTTTTGTTTGTTTGTTACACAACGGTAGAGAAGTTTCGATTTAAAGCTTTCGTGACTGCAGGGATTCATCTTCTTGGTTCTTTCGGTAAAGTCACGTAGAATGGAAATAATAAAATAAAAAAATTAAAACATAATAATATAATTCTCACGACGTTTCGGCCACAACGCAAGTAGCCGTCCTCAGGTGAAGACCAGGTCTGTCCGGGAAGACAGCGTCTTCACCTGAGGACGGCTACTTGCGTGTGGCCGAAACGTCGTGAGAATTATTTAATGTTTTATTATTTTATTATTTCCATTGTACGTGACTTTACCGAAAGAACCAAGAAGGTAGAGAAGTCGGTTGTCAGAAGTCCAATAATCAGATTATGAGCAGGCACACATGGCCATCAACCTAAATCAGAGTTTTTGGGACTTTTAAATGTAGCAGGATGCCATATTACATTGTTGCTGTTCTGGTTAAATTAACATTTACCCACGACTTAATTTCTCAATTTATATATTTAACGTTGTTGAAAGACTAGAGTAATATAATCATAAACTAGGTTTTGTATAGCGCAATTATTACAAGACCTCAAAGCACTTTGCATGAGGATTAAGTTACGGAGAATGCTTGCAGTAAAAACAGGTGAGTTTTTTGACGCGATTTTAAAAGTGTAACAGACTGAGATTCCCTAATCGACCGTGGAAGGTAATTCCAAAATCGCGGAGCTTGGCTGCAAAAATCTCTGTCTCCCATAGAACACAGTCTGGTCTTTGGAATAATGAGTAGACCCAGTATGAGCAGATCTAAGTTTTCACAGCGGAGTATACATCTTCAGCAGATCGGTAAGATATTTACGAGCCAACTCATTCAAGGCCTTAGGGGCCGTCCTTAAATGACGTCACGCGATTTTGGACGATTTTTGACCCCCCCCCCTCGTCACACGACGTCACAAAAAGTCAGACCCCCCCCTCAAATATGACGTCACAAAGCTCTGCCCCCCTCCCCCCCAAAAATAAAACATGCTTCAAATCGCTTTACACTATTGTCATTGTAGTGCGTATTTAATGTGCCGCTGCACTCTGATGTTGGAGAAAACATTTATTAAAACGTCTATTCAATTAAGTACAACGTGTTGTCTATATTTCTTTAAAGTTGCGCATTTTGATGTGACGTCACATTTCTCAATCCCCCCCCTCGTCACCCATCGTCACAAATGTCTGACCCCCCCCCCCCCCGAGTTGCGTGACGTCATTTATGGACGGCCCCTTAAACGTCAAGAGAATAATCGATTCTGTCCTTGACAGGGAGCCAGCGCAGAGAGTAAAGAATAGTCGGCATATAACTGATAGCCACAGCCATAGCGAGGGCAATACCTCACTGGATGTGCTGTTAAGTCCTGCATGTGCCATACGGGCGATTTGTTTGTTACACCGCAGTCAGAAGTGTTCTTCGAAAGCTTGTTGTGCTGACGAGTGGCTGGCGTGAGATCGCTTACCTCCCTGGCGGTGACTTCTCTTGATGTCCATCATGCGCCGACCTCAGCTCCACCCTGTCCATCTCCTTCACTTTCAAAGTGCAGCGGATGTCTGCACCTTAAACGCACAAACACGTTCGACAACCACCACTTACGAGTCGTTATTTGGTCCATTAGCCATGGACGAAAACAATCGGCGCATTTGAGTTCACTCCGATTCATAGCCATTGCATTGCTGTGCTATTCAAGTCGTGCAATCGATGTGTTGACAATTCTGTATAACAAAAAGATCTCGCCTTATTTCAGGGAGTGTAAAGAACACAGCGCAGAAGCATTACGTTTGTCCAGGATTCTGCCAATCTTGTCATCTCCTCGCAGTGGAATAGCTTGTGGTGGTGGTGACCAATGTCCAGTAGCAGCTGCAGGAGCGCCGCTGATTGAATGATTTTGGAATTCCCTGTGAATTCTACATTCGCAATGAATCGGACAACAATGACGTGTGCTTTAAATAGTAAACCGTTTACGGTTTTCGCCTAGTCATGGTAATCACAAGGCAGTGAGTGCTATTTAAAGAACATTACAACACCGGTGTGCACTGTAGGAAAACTGGCAAAGATAATTAGCCTGATCAATGTCCCATCAAGGACGACGAAGGCGACGGAGCGGCGTTGATGTGTTTTTTTTCTTCACAGAGTCTATTTCTTGTTGTTATGCCCGTGCTTTGAAACACGGGCACGGATTTGTTTCTGCCCACAGTGCCAGGGAGACGGTTGCCTGGAGGCCACGGGCTGGGGTGGCTTTCGGCCCAAATGTCCCACGGCACGGCGAGCTGGGAAACTTCCGCAATCCGAGATGCGGTGATAGAGAATGATTGCACGAACACACTCCGGCGTGCGTTACTCTCCAATCGCCCGCGCTCCATCACTTGCCCTGTACCTAGCACGCAGGGTGCGTTTGGTTCAGTGAATTTATGAGTGTGCGCCGTTAAGAAACGAAGAATATGACATTAACTGAGAAAACACTTTAAAACAAACACTGCTTGGCGTGTGCAATAAATGCGGTGTGCTGTACACACTGCCCGCTAGTGACTGTTAATGGCACGATGATGACAGCCCAAAGTTAGAGCAGAGGTCGTGTTTCAAGGGGGGGTCACGTGCTTGTGTGAGGGCTCTTTGTGTTCGCTGTGGGGCACCATCGCTTGCTAAGTCAAGGAGAAAAAAATCACTCTCGTGGAGGTGGTGGGGGGGAGGGTGCTCAGGCAACTCGTGACTTCATTGCAAGTTGACTCAGGCGCTCACCTAAAACCACCAGAGACCATTACGGAATTTTGTTTATGCCCATGCGTCCCTTTATATATGTAAAAAAAAGATCCCAAAATAATTTCTGCGTCACACCATTATGGGTTACGTAAATGAACTTTTTTTTGTGTGTGGAAAATAACCACAAGCATTAGTTTTTATTGTTTTCACAAAAATAAACTTTAGTATCTTTAAAGAAGTCATTTTAAAACGAATATACTGTATTTTGAAAGGAAAAAAAACAGCATTTCGTTTCTAATTTCAAGGGGGAAATAATTGTGCACTTTCTGACGGTATTATTCTGTTATTAGTACATTGGCGAAAATATGTAAATCGGCTTAATAAATGTAAAAGCCGGATTTAAATGCGAGAAACAGGAAGGTTGAGTGACATCGTTAAGTAGTTGAACTATTCTAAATTTACAAAAACACCAAGTTTCTTCGACTTCAAGACGCATTCGCGGTGTGCCTGCACAACATGATTTGTGTAAAATCCAGTTACGATCTCCAGTTCACGGTTCACGTGTTGGAGAGCGTTCTATAATATCAGGTTCAGCATGTTGAATGGTGATCGGGTTCCCAGCTGTTGTTAAACAGGACAATCTTGAAAAACCATTGTAGACAATTTGTAGTGCTTCAAACACACTGCATGGCAAACTGCATGATAAAACACGCAACAGCAATGACGGAACAAGTCAGCGTTTTATGTCTGGAACCGTTCTACAAATATCAACATCAACCGTGTTCAATCCACTGATGGATTAAGGCCGCTTCAAGCCGCAGGCCACCTCTCACGAAGCATGCTACAACTAACAAAAACATACAAGTGAGTCTTTATAAAGAGGCTAAGATATAGACGTGAAATGTCCCGTGGTTCCATACTCAGGACTCCAAATGTGAACGCTGCATCGTCACAAGTCAGTTAGCGTCTGACAGACGCGCAATATACATCTGTTACTACAGAGGGAGAAGTGACTTCATGCGATGTTTTCCTCACCTTGAACTGTGTTTGTGGCAGCGTGGAGTTCTCCTGCACTGGCCGCAAGACTTGAGACTCAGTCCGTGATTGTCTGCTCACGTTTCGCTTCTATGCCACGCGTTTGTGCTGCCCTGATTTATGCTGAGGATTGGCACCTGGGGGTTGGGCTTTGTCAGTGTTTCCTCCTGGATATGCGCAGTGCAAACATTGCACAAGCCGCAGCCAGGGGGTTTCTGTGTGCTGACCAGGTGCAATATACACTGCGAGTCTAGGTCCGTGCATATTTTTAGGTATTCCACGAGAAAAATATCCCATGCAGAGAAAGGTGAAATCTTGACTTAAAGCTTTCGTGACTGCAGGAATTCATATTCTTTGGGTCTTTCGGTAAAGTCCCGTAGATGAACCTATCTACGTAACTTTACCGAAAGACCCAAAGAATACAGAGAAAGATGATTCTGTCAAAGCACAATGACATTGTTGATAAAGATGTTATGATGGAGCCTCTGCATGGGTTCCCAGCCTATCTGAAATGGTAAATATTGTCTCCATTTATGTTTATGGATTTATTTCTCCACTCCAATTTTGGTGGGGAAAAAAACTTCCAATGTTGCTGTAAATTACTTTCGTAAAATCGTGTCTCCCTGGCTGATTTCCCATCTAATACATATTTTTTAACTTGCTTTAGCCATTCTCAGTGTAGCTGTTCTATTGTGCAAATGGTCTGTATTATTTATAAAAGATATTTCATTTTAGCCTTGGTTTCTGAGGGCTTGGATGATTGCTTGAATTTACACTCGACTCAAATCTCTTTCTTATTCTACATATGCGAAACAGCAGTTGACTTTCATTGGCCTATTCCAGAATTAGATTTCTGGTACAGTACGTGGTTGATGGTAACGTCGTGTGGTAGGTTAGCCAATGCACTTGCCGTTATTTTGTTCCCAATTATCTATGGTAACTATTTGTGCAGTGTGATGAGAGGCTAATGGATCTGTTCGTTGTATAACCTTTTTCGAATATAAAAAATGATTGAGGAATTATTCCATGGTGAAGATATATCGTTAAGAACAATTCTGCGAATTATGATGCAACAACGTGTCCAGCTTCTTTGGTGATGCCCGCAGTTCCCCCATCTGGCCCAGGGGCTTTACCTTTCATTAATTGTTCAAGTTTGAAATTTGGGACTTCCTGCCACTTAATCTAAAAAGTTTGATTCCTGGAATATATGAACTGGAAATGAACTATAGCTGGCGTAGTAACTCTTGCGTCCACTTTACTTGTTTACCCTGCTATTAGTATTTGCAGTAACAAAGAAGCAGAGTTTAAAACGCGCGGGTGTTCAAGGTGGTTTTATGCGCGCATAAGTGCAACTTATTGAAATATTTTATTGAAATCCACTTAATTCTAGATTTGAAGTTTTCGTGACAGCAAGGATCCATACTCTTTGTTTTTTTTCGGTAAAGTCACGTAGGTTAAAAAATAAAACATAAATTAAATCACGACGGTTCCACCTGAAGACGAAAGCTTTTGTTGCCTCCGAAACGTCGTGATTTAATTGATTTGTTTTCTTTTTTAACCTACGTGACTTTACCGACAAAAACAAAGAGTATGAAATCCACTTGTCCAACATTTCAGTTAGCGTACATTCTCTATGAACGGGCGCTGCACACCAATGTATTTAGACGTTCAGGTGTCACGTGCATGGTATCAATGCATCCAGCATACGTTAGATATTTGTATTGGGTTTTCTATGTCATGACTGTGTTTGCTATATACGTGGTCAATTGACACCGTGAACATGCTCGCACAACGAGATGATCCATCTCAAGGGATTATCCACGTGAAATATTTCAATTATAGAAGCAAGATGACCTCGTGTTCTCCCCCCCCGCCTCATACGTGGTTTTCTCTGCATACTCTGAGTTTCTCCTACATAAAATGGAGTGGCCAAACATACTAATGCAGGAAAAGTGTGGTCAGCCCCATCATCTGTAATGGGTTGGTAAAACTTAGCAACAATAAGACTACACGTATTGGTTTCGTAGAGGTAAAATACAATCCGTTAATGAGAAAATACACTTTAAAGTTAAGTCGTGTATGTCCCTCTTGTGACGTCACTGTTGTCCCCGTGTACTACCTAACTGCAGTGGCGTTAATAAGAAGGCATATCTCTGCACGTGATGTTTTTTTTATATATAAACGAAGCTTTAAACTCTTCTTGTACAGCATGGTACACACAGCCCATGTGTGAATATCTAAGAACTTTAAGGTTGTTTTTTTTTATTTGCCAGTGACACCGTGAAGATTATTGACAAGAAAACAATTCCATTCTACAATGGCGTCACTAGGGGTTGGTGTCACCCAGTGCGGCAACTCATGGTGTCACCCAGTGCGGCAACTCATGGTGTCACCCAGTGCGGTAACTCATGGTGTCACCCAGTGCGGCAACTCATGGTGTCACCCAGTGCGGTAACTCATGGTGTCACCCAGTGCGGTAACTCATGGTGTCATCCAGTGCGGTAACTCATGGTGTCACCCAGTGCGGCAACTCATGGTGTCACCCAGTGCGGCAACTCATGGTGTCACCCAGTGCGGTAACTCATGGTGTCACCCAGTGCGGCAACTCATGGTGTCACCCAGTGCGGTAACTCATGGTGTCACCCAGTGCGGTAACTCATGGTGTCACCCAGTGCGGTAACTCATGGTGTCACCCAGTGCGGCAACTCATGGTGTCACCCAGTGCGGTAACTCATGGTGTCACCCAGTGCGGTAACTCATGGTGTCACCCAGTGCGGTAACTCATGGTGTCACCCAGTGCGGTAACTCATGGTGTCACCCAGTGCGGTAACTCATGGTGTCACCCAGTGCGGTAACTCATGGTGTCACCCAGTGCGGTAACTCATGGTGTCACCCAGTGCGGTAACTCATGGTGTCACCCAGTGCGGTAACTCATGGTGTCACCCAGTGCGGTAACTCATGGTGTCACCCCTCATGGACCTCCGCCCATAGAGACCATACAGAATCCTTAGTAATGTTTTTGTACTAATGTTACTCCTAAATCGTAAATCCCGTATATCACTGAATGTAATGAAAATAGTAGTGACATAAACAACTAGAAAATGTTAAATTATATCTTTAAATTACAATATTTCCTTTCATTACTACGTAATTCTCAAAAAAGTTATTGATATAGGTTCACAAATACTAATTACCACAATATTGTAGCTAAAACACCAGAAAATTTGACGACGAAAACAACAGCGCGTGCTTGCGGCGCGTGCAGACGAAACCACGTGACTCGAAGCGTCACTGTAGTTGGGTAACAATGACAGCTCTGACCGGAGCGCATTAGAAGGTTCAAAAAGTAAATTAGTATAGAGTTTTAGCGTTGTAGGTATATTCTACATATAAGCTGGGCTTACGAAAATTTTGTTGTTGTTAGAATTAACCACAGGGATATTTTAATTAAAAATAATAAGACATTTCTGCTGAAACACTGCACAAAAAGTGTACAGCCATTTTGGTGTCAACCCCTCTGATGGTCTTCTTGATTCTTTCGGTAAAGTCACGTAGAAGGAAGACGGCTGCTTGCGTTGTGGACGAAACGTCGTGAGAATTATTTTATGTTTTATTTTTTTATTATTTTCCTTCTACGTGACTTTACCGAAAGAACCAAGAAGATGAATCCCTGCAGTCACGAAAGCTTTAAATCGAAACCCTCTGATGGTGTCACCCGGTGCGGCCCGCACCCCCCTCGTGACGCCACCGCCATTCTCGATCCTCTGCTGGACTTCGAGTTTCTCTCGACGGCCACCGCCACGTGCTGCGCTCTTGTCTCGCCTCCACGTGACCCTGCACGTGACCCCGTGCGGTTTTACGCGTGACGTCACCCCCCGCGTCATAGCTTCTTCCCCCCCCCCCCCACTCAAGGAAGGGAAGCCGGCGGCGCGAATGGCGATGCTGAGCGTCACCCTCACGCACGGTGAGCGAGGTCGTCGTGCGTGAGCGCGCTGTGGTGGCCCCCGGTGGCTCCGCGAGGACATCGCGACGTCCGTGCGACGTCTTCATTCACGCCCTCGTTCAATTCCGTTTCATTCTCATTCCACGACTCGCTGTGTCCGCCGCGGCCTAGGCAGAGCCGCCGGGACCTCGGCCTCGCCTAGCGGGGCTACCCGGGCCGGGGTGAGGGTTATGAGGGGTGTGAAGGTGACGGAGGGGGTGGTGGGTGACGGGGGGCTGGGGTGAAGGGGTGAGGGTAAGACTGTATGTGCTGTATGTTGAACTTCTTTCGCACCGTACGTAGCCAACCGTGCTAATCGGAGGCGCGGAGGAAAGACAACAAAACGAGACACAAATCGATTCTGAAGATGAGGTGGACGGTGATGGCAGTCGAGGGGTGGGACCTTATCGTGCATTACTCGTCGCACTTGTGAATTAATTGTGAATGAAATACGGTGTTGCTGTTTAACATGCAGGATTTAGAGACGAATATTGTCCATAATACGAGGTTTTTTTTGGAGTTGGATCGCGTCAAAATGAACGTGTCGTTAAACCCGCCACCACCCGACACAGCCAATTCGTAAGGTTTGTCACGTAAACATAACGTGCCAATTAGTTACTTACTAAAGCACACCGGTGTGTTAGAAAACCCACAGCTTTTACAATTCGAGTACGACGTTTCGTTGATAATAATTAACGTTTTACTCGAATTGCAAATGTTGTGGGTTTATTCTCCAACACTCAGCCCGGTGTGCTTGTAGTAACTAATCGTCACGCATTGTTTACGTGACAGCGTTTAACGATACATTTATATTTACGCCATCTAACAAAAACAGCTTTATTATGGACTTAGCAGTGCTATAGAAACGAGTGATCGCTCTGCATAGAATCCAGCGTTCGAATTCCCTAGACGTTGTATAATTGATACGAGGTGAAAAGAGGACTAACCTCACCACGATCCTCTCGAATTTCCCAGAGTATGTGCGGTGCTTTGTCACTGACTGACAGTAAGATGACGCAGTGGTAACACTTGTGCTTCACAGAAAGAAGGTCCTGGGTTCGATTTCTAACCCAGGCGCCTTTATGTGGAGTTTGTATTCTCACCCTTGTTCTGCATTGGTTTCCTCCCATGGCAAAAGACATTGGTGTTAGCCAGCCCTTTTCAATACAGGAACGTATTGAATAAGAGCGCTCAGTGTGACTTTTTTGAGTAACTAATTGTGAAAATTATTGATCTCACATGAACCGTCTCGTGAGGCCGTCGGGTGACTTAATTCACAGAGATGAAACGCTCAGGTGGCTTTCTCCGAGTAACGAATATAGGTGGGCTGGGTTGGCAAGGCTCGGGCCTAGGTCAGCGATAACCCCTATAGATTTCACCAGAGCAATCAAGATCATTATGATGATAAAGAGGTCATGATCAGTTTAATATTAGCAACATCACTTCTATTGGAACATCAGATTTGCACGGTTGGCTAAGTACAGTGCGAAATAAGTTCATTATACAGTAAGTTGAAACCTTTTTATTAAATGTTTCTATATCCTCTGGCAATGACCCTATACCTATGGCATTATTACATTATCTTGCAAAATCAACAGCCTTTAGCATTTTCACAGCATGTAAATGCAGTTGCATCTCAATTCACTTTTCCTGAGTGAGGGGTGACACTCGGGAAACACGAGGGAAGGAGCTGACCCAGTGGAGAGAGTGAAGGATCGGGACACTGGAGTGCAATGTTACTGCATTGAGGCCAAGTCCATGGGTGTAGAAGCCACTGACGTCCAACACCCACGAGTGACTTAACCATGTTTATTTTTCTCCCTTGTACCTCCGTGGTGCCTCTGAACCCCCTGCATATGAGATAGGTTCCTCCAAGCACAGTGTGCAAGTCCCAGGGGCTCCGGGCGGCAAGGAGCCCACACTGAGCGACCTCGCGCAGGCTGTCGCCGCCGCCACTGCTGTCCCTGAGGCTAACCAGAAGCTCATTTTCAAAGGTGCCTCAGTGATGCATATGACATGACAGTGATGTAATATCTCAGATGGAGTGCAAACATTTATTTTGTAATTTTGACAGTAAATGTACATTTTTGTATTATTGGAAAACAATTTGTATTACCTGGTTGTATTTTTATTCTTAAGGGAAATCCTTGAACACTCTAAAAGAGCCTGATCGGATGATTTCAGCATGTGGGATGAAGAATGGATGCAAGATCATGCTTATTGGGAAAAAGGTAAATGCAGTAATCTGAGAGACGTTTTAAGTGGCACACATGTTTAAAAATGTGCTTGGATGCTTTAAAGCCAATTGTCACTGGAATTAAATTGCATGTTTTTCTGTCCAATTAACTTAATAGATTCTGCTTTTGTGCAGAATAGCCCCGAAGAGGAAAGTGCATTGCAACGACTGACAGAAATGGAAAAGTCTGGAGAGCAACTCTCATTTAGGCTGAATGAAATCCAAGTGGAGCTTAAAGGCATCCAAAATGTGAGTGTTCTATACAATGTGCCCAGCCCGACTCTACTGCAATGTAACTAAATGTGCAATTCAAATAAACAGTAACATAAAGTCTGCTTTATTTTCACCGTAATCAGGAAAGTATTATTACAAGTGTTATTAAAACTTGTATTGTTGTTTAAATGTTATGCTTTAAGTTATCTTAACACAAGGAGTCGATGGTGTGTTTTTGCAGAGTGTAATGAATTACAGCATAGTTGAAATTTACCATAAATTGGGTTATACCACTTTTATATTGGTTGTTCAATATGGAATATAAAGCTATTCAAACTCATTCTGTGGGCATTATGGAACGCAGGACACAAATGAGACTAAACTGATCCATTTTGTACAGGATTTTGCTGAATTGTGATGTAAAATTAGAAGTTCGTTGAACCCTGTGTGCGTGCACCAGGGTTACCTGGAGAAGAATCTGCGGGGGCAGGCACTGACCAAGCTGGAGAAGCGTGTGAAGGCAGTGACGGAACAGTGCATGAAGCTGCTGGAGCAAGCTGACGGCACGGTTAGAGCTTCCGCATCGCCCACGGTTGCACAGATTCATAGAACGGAGGAAACACTGGAATAGTTGTGTTTTGGGGGTTATGAGTCAAATTCCTTTCAGGGGTCGATTCTGGTCAGGGGTTTATTCAACCATTATATTTCTGGAGTCCAGTGAGTCGTACCATTTTGTAGTAAATCAACAAGGGTGGCCTCATGAAGACTGATAATTTTAGAGGTGGCTGAGGATGTATTTTAATTTATCTTTCATTGCCCAACAGGAACTGCCGGAGAATTTTTCGGACTGTCGAATGAAGCGAAAAAGGATCGTGAAGAAAATTCAGGTATGGACATTAGGACTGGTGATTATGACATTGTGATAGATGTACGTACGGGAATTAGTAAGAAATATAATAGTTTTATATTAATGACCAATTAGCCACCAGTAAAATAAAAATTGCATGCATAAATAATTTGCAAATAACAGTATGATACTTGTGAGATTTTGAAGAAAAATTGTTTAATAATTTCGCAGTGACATACTACATATGTTTGTCATGTGTTTCAACCAGAAATTGTTAATGATTTTTTTTATATATCCTATTATGCAAATGAATACTTTGTGTCAAAGTGATCGTTAAAAGTGAAGCAGTTTAATTTGAAGAAAATTAAAGCCAAAAAATATAGATTATTCTATCTTTAAAAAAACAATGTTATGAAATAATCATCTCTATTACATTAAGAAAACCAATTAGTCAATAAGATTGCCTAGGGAAGGAAGGTTTAGTGAAATTACACTTTTATTCCACAAATAGTTTCTTACAAAGAGTTTGTAAAATAATCGTTAAGTATATATGGTTAGGATTGTGATCGATAAAGCACTTGAAACTACGCAAATTGTTCTTGGTGAAAAATCTCCAAAACGTGTTTTTAAAGCCAGGTGTCTGAAACTGTAGCAATTTAAAATATGATAGCGTCATCAAGTCTTCATCAGTACTATACAGTCTATTATTAAGATTTATGCGAAGTTTAGAAAAGTATCTAATTGTGATTCTTTTTGTGCATTTTATTGAAGTATTTATCCAAACTTTCACTTGTGCCACAGAGCTACCTGGATCATTGTGACACATTGGAGAAAAGTGTAACAGTTGAAGGTGAAAAGCTTCAAAGAAAAAGTTTAACACAGCCTGACTAATGTGACACACTGCGAGTTTGAATATACAGTACAGTAGATTTAAATGTTATTTACATTTCATTGGATTTTAGATGAATGGATACAACTATATATGTTTGGAATGTACTGTACATAAAAGTAATAATTTGAATGTATCATCAGCCATTGTTTATTTGATGCTGGATGAAGATCACTCCACACCACTGCCACCATATCCCACGATTTCTCTTAGTCCTGCGATGCCACAACATACCTGCACAATACATTCCTGCGGAGGGAGCTGGTAGGAACGTTGGGTTGCTCGGTCAATGGCCAGGGTCAACGGCGGCGTGGTGTATTCCGCAAATATGCCCGACTGTGAGGGCGGGCACAAGTGTAACCAGGAGGTTCCTACCGGTATTAACTTATCTCATTCTTCCTCTTGATGGTCATCTTCCTCGGCACATCCTCTCAGTTATTCTGTCACCAGTCTTGTCTGCGAGCTGTCACCCTTTTGAGTGTCTTTTTCAAGCCTACCTTTCACAATAGTCTATTTGTATCTGATTTCATTGCTCCTAGATCCATGTGCTCCTCGCCTCAGCTCAGCATCTGCTCCATTAATTGTTCATTCTGTCAGTGTTTAAATACTTTAAATAACTCCAGGTGAAATGGCTGTGGAGTCCAATTTAAGAGTGGCACGTTTTATCCAGAATATGTAGATCAGACTGGAGCAGAACCTTGTTGTGACATCTTAATTTTTTACATTTTATGAGTTAATTTTATTTTACAACTGCATGTTACTTGTGTTTGTGGAATCCATTAAATATTGCATTCTGGGGTTGTCCTTCAATTTGTCAAATATGTATTTTTCAAGCTCACATTTGTGTATTTTTAATTTGTATGTATGTGGGCATCAAACTTACAGGCTGGTCTATTACTGCATACGTTTTCATGGTTGTGCTGCTTAGCTCGAGAATGTGTTTTTGGGTTGTAACACGTTTTCGGTTCCTGAATAAGCTCCCTTCGCATCGAGTGAAATATCAAAAAGGCTGAGCAACACTCGTTAAAACCCGAAAACACATCAATTTACTATTATTAATCATTTAGTGAGTCCAACCGAGTCGCAGACATTGTCTTAGCACAACATACTCCAGGCTATTAGCACAACATACTATCGGGTGGTGACCACCCAACTAACCATGCTACGGCGGAACTAGACACGGTTCCACTATCCTGGTCAAGACCACAAGCTGGGTTCCGGACCGCGTGGCTGGAGGCTTCTTCCAGCTTGACGTGGATCTCCTGCCTCCAAAAGTCAGAACCCAGAGCCCCGCACAGGGCCCCCCTTATATCGGGCCGGGCTGGTGCTGGCTCCACCTCTCGCCCCGCCCACCTTCTCGATCTCTCCCGCCCTTGCCCGAAGGCTCTCGAGAGTTCTTCCCGGACCATGTGACCACCCATTGGCCCCCTCCACCGGTGGCCCCCCTCCAGTATCATCCGGTCACATGTCCCCAGGTCAGCCAGAGTATCATGCCCCAAACGTAACCCTAGCTGGCTGGCACTCTCTCGCTCTCTCAATGGGAGCCCACGCTGTGCGTGGTGTGGACGGACACAATAATCCCCTGTGGGCTGGTGTAACCAGGAGGTTCCTACCAGAAGAACATCCCTATCCAGTCATCACCATTCTCGCTTGCCACTGCTGTACATCACCTTGAAATGTCATATACTGGTGCTTTATAAATCCAAAGGGTCAAAATATCTTGAACATGTGTAGTGACATTGGTGATGTCACTGTATGGTGCCGGCCCCAGAGGGCCATGGCGTGCAATGTACTTCTATCGCGGACAGCATCTTGTATGTTACAGAGTGATGCCGGCTCTAGCAGGTGGGTGTAGTACCAGCCCTAGCGGGGCTTGGTGAGTGCTGGGATAGCAATGGCACCACGCATAGCGTGTAGTGCGGGCTCCCACAAGGGGGAGCAGGAGAGTGTCAGCCCAGGGACAGGGTTGCCATGGCACTCTGGTTGACCCCGTAGGCACGTGATCCGGAGGGTCCATCGGGAGGCCCCCAGGTGGGGGGGGGGGGGAGCTAGGGGGTGATCACGTGTCCGGAGAGAGCTCTCGAGAGGGATCAGAGGGAGCTAGAACGAAGGTGGGCGGGGCCAAAGGCGGAGCCGGACCCGACCCGGGAGGATAAAAGGTGGGTCCCTGGGAGGGACCGGGGTTGCTTCGTTCTGCAAGCTGGAAGCTCCACGTTCTACGTCTGAAGAGTCACCACCACATGGCCCGGGACCCGAGTGCGGGTCCAGTCCGTTATAGCCATAACTCCTGTATGGTGGTGTAGTTAGCTGGGTGGTCACCACCCTAGGCTGTATCTGGTAAAGGGGCAGCTTCCCCTTTTGTATATACATGTGTAATAAATGTGTTGCCTCTGAAGAAGAACGTCTGCGACTCAGTTGGACCCATGTATATTGAGACTTTCAAAATGTTAGATATATATCTACAATATTAATGCCATAAAATAAGCCTTAAATTAATATATTTTCAAATAAAAGTCACCAAGAAATTGAAGATACTTCAAAACCTGAACGTAAAACACGGCAATTCAGTACAAACCTTTGTAGGGATTTTACAAAAATTGCAGCATATTGGACAACTACCCACAATACACATTCATGTACTCTGTATAAAAGGCATGGCTGTTGATGTCATAAAATACGCCGTAAATGAATATCATTTCAAATAAAAGTTACCAATAAATTGAAGTTATTTCAAAACTTGGACGTAAAACACGGTAATTCATTTATGTGATATACCGAATGCAATTTTGTATTTACAGTCTTGCAAAGTGAAGCAAGCAGATGGCTTTCATGTTATTACCATGCCTCAACATAAACGACAGAGGGCGCCTGAACACTGACAATTCCTACTACACTGGTTCACTTAGAATGTCAGCTGTGATTACTGGAAACCTGTTGAAAGATTGTTCCAACACAAACGCTTCGAAAGAGGGTCATGATGCTAATGCCTTGGCCAGTTTATTGCGTACACCCCATATGGTTTTCGTTCTTGACCTGTTACACACGGGTCCTGAATGGGATATTTGACCATTTCCTCTCTCTTGAGGGGAATTAAATAATTCAAATGCCTGGGTGTTATATACGAGTCCGAAGACCAAAGGAATGACCTTAAGGCCAGATGGTGGGATATTGTGACGGTAGATCTTGGGGGTCGCGTGTTCATTGTGCAGCAGGTGCGGGATCTGGCAGAGGGTAGAAAGTGATGGGGAGGCGTTGGTGGCCTCGCCTACCTTGGCCATGAAGGCATCTTGATCTTGTTTTTAGTTTATTCTACTAAGAAGTATTCGTTTTGGTGCCAACAATGCACTGTTGTGTTCACGTTAAACATCTCTAAACCGTTTTCCACTCATGCATAATTGCTATTTAAAATCTTGTTCTTTGATGTGCTTGATGACTTTGTTACATTTGGAGTGCGTTTCTACCATTTCCACCCTTGCCGTCAGTCGTGCAGTGGACAGCGAGAGGAGCAGTGCAAGCCGTCCAACTCTTGAGAGTCTCAGCCCAGTCGTCATTGGCATCAATGGATGTGTGGGGTGGTCCCTTTCAATTGGCCACCTGTATCGCAGGCATAAAATTGAACTCGCTTCAATGGTCTACCTTGGTACCTGGCCGTTACAGCATGTCAACAACTGCACAGCTGATTGTTCCTTTTAAAAACAAGTAAGATACGTTACTTCCATGCAGTTATTGTTGAAACATTAATAGGGATTGTATTTATATGTTACAAAACTACTTTTAAGTTGAAAGGTGATTTGTAATAACACTTGGTGTTATACGCAAACCTGGACTTTGACATTGCAGTAAGGGGCATTAATAATGATATGACCTGGGAAAACCTCACGAAATCCAAGGAATCTTTTTCAGGAGAATTTTGCATGGGTTTTGCAAATACATTCATACGTGGTTTTACATGTGGAGAAAACCCCATAGCTCTGATTAACATACATATGGTGATAAGATTAGTTTCCATCTTGTCCACCAGTTTGAATTGACTTTTAACAAGTTAAAAATTCATGAATGTAAAAAAAATAGGCGAATGCTTCTCGAGATGACAAAGAGAACACTTTCATGAACTTTCTTTTTCCCCTTCTCATGTTGGTCCCGTCTACAGGCAACCTCTTTCTTCCATTGTGTCTGATTATTGCTACATCTACCCCTGGAATCAAATTGCATGTAATAGCGAGCTGATGGACACGATGACACGTGGCCGATGTAATTTGGCTTCAGCTCACATTTACTCTACTTGAACTGCAGCTGCATTTTCAGTCGGCTTATTAAACTGCACACTGGGCAGCTATGACAGTTTAACGTGTTCTCATTAAATCTATAGGTTGCAGATGCATATGAGGTTACGGAAAACGTGGAGTTCACGTGGCTTTTTGCGAGATAAAATTGGAACTCGCAGTGACGGCTTGACGCCATTTACTGCTCTCTTGCTCAAACGTCCCTCAGAGCTGCGTTTGATGTCATTAGCATGCGCAGAATGGCAATCTTTGTGCATTGTCACGAGATGGAAAATAGTCTGCAGAATGGTAATGGCTTGAAATGAACTTTGATCTGAGAAGCAGCACAGATTTAAGGAGGATGAAAGAAATCCTTTTATGACTTAAAATGTATAAATAGAGATCGAAGTCCCCTCATTTGGCTGTAACTCAACTCTGAATGCAATCATCCTCAAGTCTGATTGCATGTCCGAGCAGGGCTTTGTCAATTTGCTGTTGGGATGAAATGAAAGCAGTCGAGGCTGTGTTTGTATTCAGGTGAAGGCAGGTCGGTCAAAACATTGATGTCTCTTCCGTTCTCCTCGTTGACCTAAAACCCCATTTGCGTTTAATGAACTTGCTATATATTATGTAAGCCTGCTGAAGCAACAGTTTGGTATGTTATAAGCGGCATTAATCATCCATGAAACTGTGCAATATTTAATATTTTCTTAGCTCTCAAAATAGCATTTGCAATTTAAGTTGTTGCATGTTGACGTACAACTTTGGTCACCAGTGCTCGAATGCTGCCCTGGGATCAGAGGTCACAACCGGGTACCCGATACCCGTACCCTACCCGATACCCGGCTACCCGTACCCGGCCAGGTACGGGTACCCGTTTGCGACCCTGGTGCGGCCGGGTATGGGTACGGGTAGGCCGCGAGTCACTGGTGAGTAACCATTTGTCACTCATTTCGGGTAGGGTACGGGTAGGGAACGGGTACCCGTACCCGGCCGGGTACGCGTACCTATTTGCGACCCTGGTGCGGCCGGGTACGGGTAAGGAATTAAAACCCGTTTGCGACCTCTGCCTGGGATGAATTGCTGATGCCACTGCTGGTAGAAGAACCTCCACTAATAAATGACTTCTCCAGAGGGCATCTTGCTTTGCTCACACACGCTGGCCAGACTTCTTTGGAAGGAGTTATGTTTGAACGTAATGAACTACCTAGGTATACGCTTGCAGGTAACCTTTAAGACTTGTTCAGAACTGATCGAGACAAGTCTGTTTTACAAGATATACCTAGGGGTGATTCATTAAAAGTGTATACATACAAGTTTACGGTTACGTAAGGCATGTGTTTGAAATCGAGGGATCATGTTTGAAACTGATGCTGCATAACCGTTGCCACTTTTCGCCTTCGGCTTCCCAACACGGGAGTGCTTCTGAGCGTGCAACGTCGCAGCTACCGCAACAGCGAGCTGGTTTGGTAATGAAGGGTGACACACTGGGCTATAACGCATGGACTTCGGAGTTTTTTCCCCCTTCCTCTTT